TTCAGAAAGCAAAGCCTCTTCAGCAAGGGGGTGCCACAGATCAGCTATCCTGCACAGCAGATATTTACTTTCTGATTCATAACTGGCAAGATAATAGTTTATGAAGTAGCAATGAAATCGTTTTATGGCGGAGGGTCACCACAGCACAAGGAACTGTATTAAAGTGTCTGCACTATGATGGAGGAAGACACCTCAAATCCAACTCTTACCTCCACATGTACACACCATGCACGCATACATACAGCACACAGACTCATCGCGAGTTCAGAATTGTGCGTGGGACCTTAGAAAGAGCCCTGCTCTAGATGAAGTGCAGGCTGTCCCTCCCATTTTCTTGGAGCAGACTGAAGGCTGGTGGGACCTGGGAAGCCTGCCCTGAGATGGAGACAGGAAGGCATTTTCTCAGAGGCAGAAATGGGTATCCCTTAGCTAGTGTGTAATAAATAGTTCGGCTCTCGTCATTAAAATGATCAGGATAGACTGGAATTGTGGCTCAGGTGGAGACTGCTTGCCTACTTTGTCTGAAGGCCTGGGTCCTGTCCCCAGCTCTGTATAAAAACAGATGTACACATCTGTAATCCCAGCACTCAGGAGGTAGAGGCAGGTGGCTCAGAAGTTCCAGGTGATCCTTAGCCATCTAATGAATTACAGGCCACTTTTAATGAATTACAGGCCACTTTGGGCTACAGGAAATCCTGTCACACACACACAAAAAAAAGTTAATTGCATTGTGGTTGTTGTTTCCTTTACTGTGATTGAGTAATAATAAGCTTATAGCTCCCTCCCCAAATCCCTCCTTCCTTTCCTCCTCCCCTGGGTTTCTTTAAGCAAGAGGAGGCGGGGCGTCCATGCAGGTGGGCGTGGTCTCATTCCAGCCGGGCCAGAGCAAGCTCTCAGGCCAGATCTACTGGGCCCAACTTGCACCTGCACACACACCTCCTTGATTGCCCTCTCCCTGCCTTGAGCTTGTCCTTTCTGAAGCCATCATGTCTGTGACCAAGAGTTCCGGGAGCCCGCAGGTGGCCACCACTGTCAAGCTGGACCTTGAGAGTGCCAAGAAGGTGCAAAGCCAGGATCCCAGTCCAGTGAATGGGAGCTCTTCAGAGTCATCAAAGAAGACCAAGGGCATAACGTGAGTGCAGCTCCCTTCCACCCCTTGTCTGCTTCCAGTCTGGATCTCAAGGTGGGCGTGTCTGATCTAAACCCCCTGTGCAGCCAGAAACGCCAAAGAGGAAAAAGTGCATCCAAGATCTGTGTCAAATAGGACAGTCTAGCTAGGGGCATGATTAGAATCTGAAAATTCCTGAGAGGGAAACTGAGACCCAACAGCTTTAAGCCACATGCCAAGATCTATTGGCAGGATAGGGGCTAGAATATAGCACTTTTGTTAAAGTTAGTTTAGGGCTTTCAGTGTCTAGGAGGAAGGCAGAACTTAGAGGGAAGCTGGGATCAGAATGCAAACCACAGTGGCTTCAGCAGCCAACAAGCAAGCCTCTCCCTGTAGCAAGCCTGGGCCCTGCTGCCGCTGGGGCTGCAATGGTACTACTCAAAGAACATGTGGGAGATTCCAGTGTCTTCCATTTTCTGGAAGATGGATTCTGGAGAAAGGGACATTCACAAAGGTTTTCAGAACATGACAAGCTGCAGAGCTCCAGCATCCTCATCCTCATCCTCCTCCTCCTCTCCCTTTTCTTCCTCCTCCTCCTTATTTGACTTCATGAGTACAGCAGTCTGGCCAGCTCTAGCTTGTGCTTTAAGGGACAATTTGATGTCATCAAAGTAGTAGAGAGTGTACTTAACAGAGGACCAGAAGGTCTGGGTTCAGGTGGAAGCCCTGTCCTCTCTTCTGAAGCAAGTTTCCTCATATGTAAAGCAGGGAGGAACAGAGAGAGACAGAAACAGAGATACAGAGAGGGGGATGTGTGGCAGAGAGGGAGAAGGTATAGCCTCTCTCCACACTGCATACAAGACACTGCAGGGATGGGCTCAATGGTGGCTGGCAGTATGTCATGGCTCCTTTGTCCCTGGGTCTGGTCTTGAGCCTTCTAAATGCTAGAGGTCACTAGAGTGAGCTGCTCAGTCCCCTGGACCACCCACAGCTAAGCAGGGTATTCTTCAACTTTGAGAGAAGCAGCTGACTCTTGTGTCCTGTGTCCTGGATGGTTGAGGTGGCAATTTCAACTACTTAAAAATCAAAAGAATAAACCAAGAGCCAGAGAGGACCTTGTGGGCCTTGGAGACAAGGCATCCAGCCTGGGAAATCAAGTAGCGAGTGCAGTCTGGCCTTCTGGGTTCAGTTCCCACTTACCAGCTGGAGAAAGTGACATAGTCTAGAAATGATGGCTTGCTCCTCCCAGGATGGCTGCACCTTCTATGTGAGCATGAACAATGCCCCCCACCCCCAGCCCGAGCATAGTACTTGTGTACTCTTAGCTGCTTAAAAAAACACCTGTGATGGTGGCTTTGGGTCACCAAAGGACCCAGGCCTCCTGGCTCCTGGTACAAATTTTTGCATGGCTTGATACACTGCGAGCTGGCTGAACAGCTACAAGCTAATTCTGATTTCCTAAGTCCTTTAGTTAGAAATTTCCTAAGTGACCCGTTGACCCCTTCCCAGTTGCAAAACAAGCCCATCGCTGGGGGCTGGGGGTGTAGTTTTCTGTCAGCAATGTTGACACCCACAGGGAGAGAGACAGGCACACAAGACTCTCCACCCCCCACCCCATCCAATTGTTCTTTAACTCCCACCAATCCCTGGGCAGGTCATCCGATGCCAGAGGACTTAGGGGTTAACATAGAGACTGGGAATTGAGCGAGTTCTTTCAAAATATCATTATCCTTAACATTTGCAGAGGTGCTGTGGAGCCAAACACATGCAGCCTTGGGTTGTAATCCTGGGTTTGTCTGATTCCAAAAGTCAGGCTCCTGCCAGACTCCTGGCCCTGCTTTCAGACGATCTCTTGGCTGCAAGGGTTTTTTGGGGGAATTTCTAAGTCTTCTGAGGGTTTAGATAAAAGCTTAGTACTGTGTGTCACAAAGTTGGAATACAGAAACATCTAGAAGAGAGCTGGGAGATTTGAGATTCACAGGGAGAGAAAGTCCCAACTTGAAATTGTTCTCCCCTAATGACCTTGTCCTCTGGATCAACTTCACATCTGTCTTAAATAAATAGTAAATTGAGGCTGGGAATATAGCTTAGTTGGTAGAGTGCCTGTCTAGGTGGCACAAGGTCCTGGGTTTGACCCCTAGCACTGCATAAACTGGGCATAGTGACATACCTGTAGTCTCAACACTGGGGGTGTGGAAGTGGGACAATCAGAAGTTCAAGGTAATCCTTGGCTACATAGTGAGTTTGAGGCTAGCCTGTACTGTCTGAGACCCTGAGAACATTAAGAGAGCAGTGGGGGAGGATGGGGAGAAAGAAAGAGAAGAAATGGTGAGTGCTGAGGGCACTGCTCAGCGGCAGAGCTCTTGCCTAGCATGTGCAAGGCTCTGGGTGTGACCCTGAACGTCGTAAGTAAACAGTAGCAGAAAGAGTGGGAGTCCTTTGCTTTAATTTGGGTTTTATTGGGTTAAGGGTCATGCCATTCCCCACACTTAATGTCCTGGGCTAAGAAGAAAAGAAAAATCTCTCTGGAGACCAATCCCCAGATGACCGACAATGTCACCTGACCTATTGCTGACAAGTCACAGGGACTTGACTCCAGTCTGCCTTTTCCCCTATTGGAGTGCAGTTCTGTCTCTGCCACAACTCAGGAAGTCAAACTGGTCTCTGGGCCTCAGTTTCCTCTGTGATGACTTGGGGCTGCCCCTTTCCTGCCTTGTCCTGGGTCTGCCTCCTAGGCTTCTGCAGAAGAACGGAGCTATAAAGCAGCTTGGCTTCCAGCCCCGACTTCCCAGTGCACTCACGGGCAAAATTTCTAATTACTTTTGTGCCTCTATTTTCTGTCTGTACACCAAACCCCACCTCATCGCCTACTTTACTATCCTGCCAAGGTGATGAAGATGAGATGTTAATAGTTCAGCACAGGGTCTCATACAGTTAGTGCTTTGAGGCATAGACAGGGCACAAATTGCTAACTCTAGAACAATTCTGGATATCTTGGGATGGGCAGTCACATTCCAGGAGACCCACATGTGCCAAAGCAAGGATAGAGAAAATCAAGACGGCCGTGAATTTACCTGCTCAGTTTAACTGGAGTGCTGGCATACCATGAAGGGTTGGCTGGCTAGATTCTCTCCCATCTCCACTTCCATGTCCTCATACCACCTTCCTTTCCTGTAGAGGGTTCCAGACGTTGGTTCACCTGGTCAAAGGCAACATGGGTACAGGGATCCTGGGACTCCCCCTGGCCGTGAAGAATGCAGGCATCTTGGTAAGAGGCATGGCTCAGTGGGGGCATTATGAAGAGCTGTGGGATGATGGGGAAGAAGGCATATGGTTTAAAATACCCTGGGGGTTGGGTAGTGGGTAACTGACCCAGACTTAGAATCCAAACAATCAAGCCTGGGTCTGAGTTCTGCCTCAGCTCGGCTACGGACACTAGGAGTCAACACTTTTTATCCACTCTCAGGCCTCAGCTCCCTCCTTTTGTAGAATGTAAGGGTTGGAGGAGGACCAGTTACTCAGTCTACCTTAACAGAGCCTAGATGTCCTTGGGGACACCTCAGAGACCATCAATGGGACATATGGTCAGGACTCTGAGTTTCCTACCCCATCACAAATGTCACTGTGACTGCTATGTGTACTTTTTGGACATTACTTGAGATAACTTTTGGAAAAAATAGCTAAGTCTCTTTCAACTCGGTTTTCTAGAAAGTTCTTTCAGGGCTAGCAAATGACTCACGAGATAAAGGCACTGGCCACCAAAGAGAGAGAGAGAGAGAGAGAGAGAGAGAGAGAGAGAGAGATATCTTTGAGTCCTCAGCAGTATCTGTGCCCCTAAGTCGTCTTTTCTCCCACTTACTCCTGTCCGTCCTGTCTGCAGATGGGCCCACTCAGCTTGCTGGTGATGGGCCTCATCGCCTGCCACTGTATGCACATCCTAGTCAGATGTGCCCAGCGCTTCTGTCACAGGTGAGGAATGTCCCATGTGTGGGTCTCCAGGACATCCCCCAAACACATTAGAAGAGCTTCCTTCTACATGGTCCCCATGATTGCCAAGAAAAAGAGCTTCAGGAATGGGGAGACCTCAGGGGAGGCCTGGACACACGGCTTACTTGACCTTAATCAGGCCTTTGAGCTTGTCTGGTCAGCCTGCCTGTGTAGTGGGTGTAAATAACTCTTGCCCATCCCTGCCTCTAAGAGTTGTCCCCAGTTCAGTGAGAGCCATGGGTCTAGGCACCGCTACACCCACGCCAGGCATGTGCTATTACTCATTCTGTGTGGTAACTGCTCAAACCATAGGTGAGAACAAAGCCCTGTGGAATTACAGCCTCGATTAGAACCTGGCTGTGCTGGCTCCGTGCTTTTTCCACCTTCTATCTGTGTGGCCTTGGTCTGGATCTCCTGACCATGAGTTGTGGGGTTCCCTAAGTGGATGTGTTAAGAGTGGAGGAAGCCCTGAGAGGATGTGTATTTTTGGCATGAGCACAGCCATGTCCCCAAAGACTTTCCATCAGAGAGGTAGCAGAGCTTTCCTCTGCCCGTAGGGTGAATGTGGACAGTGTGTGCAGCAACTGTCAGCCACAGCTTCCTCCTCTGGGAGAGACCTCCTACCCCTGTTAGGTAGACCTGCCTCCTGGTTCAGCTGTGCCTTCCTCCTGAAGTCAGATGTACGGGGACAGGGATGCTGCAGTTGATGGCCGACTCCAGAGCAAGCACAGCCCCACTGGATCCCAGTTTTCCTGAACGTGTCTCTTTTTCCTTTCTTCATTACCTCATTACCCCAGTTAGATAAATCCCTGGAGGGGTGCAGAGCATGACAGGAAGTGTGTGCATATGTGCACGTGTGTAGACACGTGCCACAACACACTGTGGAGGTCAGAGGACAGCCTCGGCTGTCCGTCCTGGCTGTCTACCTTGTTTGAAGTCTCTTGTTAGTTCTGTATGCCAGGAATACAAGATGCCAGGGATGCAAGAAGTCTCCTGTTTCTGCCTTCCATCTTGATATAATAGTGCATGAATTTCAGACCAGTGCCAGGGCATCTCCCCAGCTTGGCCCCTTGGCTTTTTAAAAACATAACCTTAGGTTCATCAGTCTCTTTAAATACCGTATGTGTTTTGTCCAACAGACTCAACAAGCCTTTCATGGACTATGGGGACACAGTGATGCACGGACTGGCTTCCAGTCCCAGCGCCTGGCTGCAAAGCCACGCCCACTGGGGGAGGTACTTTGCTCTTGCTTTGTTCACAGCGGCTTAGGGTACAGAGAAAACAATACCTTTGGAGAAGGTCTTCTTCCCTGACAAGGTGGCTCAGAGGTCAGGCTGTCCACCGGGAAGCAGGTCACTACCAACATCATCTATCCAGTTCTCACATATCTTTGGTGACAAATGTTCATTTACTATACACTCTTAGAAAACCACACTTACCCTGCAAACACCACAGAGAAAGAGACAGACAGCAAGACTTTGCTCTTGCGTTACCCATGGTCCACTGGGAAAGACAGCCTAGCGCTCGATTATGCAATACCCACTGGGATACACTTGAAAGAGGCTCTGGCTGCTACCAATTGGATAGAGGAGTGTCGGGGCCAAGGGTACGGGGATGTGTCAGGCCAGGGTGGCCACGCTGGACCGACTGATGCAGGTTTTGCAGATAGTAACCTGAAGGATGAGGGATTACTTAGGAACGACGAAGGCGGGGTCTGAAAGATCCTTCAGAAACTGGGCAGAGCTGAGGGATTGGTGCACGCTATGTGATAGGTTCATGCTACAGAAAGACCAAGCAGCATGAAGACTGAGAAAGGAACTAGGTGCTCTGTTACATTGTGCATTTTATTTTTTTAATTGTTTGTTATGTACTTATTTGTTTGGGGGAGTCTGTTCTTTCCTACCACGTGGGTCCCAAAGATGGAACACAGGTCATTAGGTTTGGCAGCAAGCACTGTTATTTGCTGAGCCATCTCACCGGCCCATACTGTATATTTTAGACCATCTGTAACATTTTGTTATTTTCTTTTTTTAGAAAAATTTACTTTTATAGCTTTTAGTTATGTGTGTTGGGGGAGAGTTGTGTGCATGAGAGTACAAACGCCTCCAAATCCCAGAAGCACTGGGTCCTGTGGAGATAAACAGGTGGTTGTGTGGTAGGGGCTGGGAGCCAAACTCTGGTCCTCTGCAAAAGCAATACATGCTCTAAACCACTGGATTATCTCTCCAGTCCCTTTCCAAAGACCAGCAGAAAGCCAAGACAAGAGAGTGTTTAATCAGGGAAATAAGCACGTTTGTGTTCTTGAAAGGTTTATTTAGCTTCTGTGAAGGGAGAGATTATGAGGGAGCACAGGGCAGACTTTGGCAGCCAAGGAGGCTTTAGTGTAGGCAGTGTCCATTCTGGTGGTGATGTCTTCAGGGGAATGGAGGAAATTGTCTTGGTAAGGCATCAGCTGAAAGAGAAGGCAAGTGTTGGTGCTGGGGAGACGGCTCAGTGGGTAAAGTGCTTGCCACATGAGCATGGTCATGTGACCCGAGATCATGAACCAGAGTTCAGATCCCTATAACTGGTACAGAAGCCAGGCAGCTATGATGACCCATCTGGAATCCGAGTACTTGGGAAGCAGAGATAGGATCCCTGCAGGGAGCTGGCTAACTAGATCAGCAGAAGCACTGAGTTCTGGGTACCACAAGAGAGCTTACTTCAATAAAATAAAGTGGAGAGTGATGGAGGCCTGACATCAACTTCTGGCCTCTGCACTTGTGCTCTCTCTCTCTCTCTCTCTCACACACACACACACACACACAGAGAGAGAGAGAGAGAGAGAGAGAGAGTAAACATACATATATACATATGCACACAGTGAGCATCCACATACACACAGTGAACATGCTCACATACAGTGAACATGCATATGCCCGGTAACACACAAAAGCCAAAAAGGGAGGAGGGACAGGAGCGAGGGAGAGAGGGAGGGAGGGAGGAGGGAGAGGGAGGGGAGGGGGAGAGAGAGAGAGAGAGAGAAAGAGAGAGACAGAGACAGAGAGAGAGAGAGAGAGAGAGAGAGAGAGAGAGAGAGAACTTTAATGACTTCCTGCCATTGTATTCATCCTTGTCTCTACTGTCTCTACTGTCTTGCTGTGTCTTCCAATATGGTCCTAAAAGCCCTTCTTCTTTTTGAGCCTTCCCTACCCCGAGAACATCTCAGCAGCTGTAGGGACAATCATTTCTTCTTTTTCTCTTGGCTGTTGGCTGTCCCCAGCTTCCTTCCCTATTCTCTATCAGATCCACGACCAGTCTGTGTCTATCAAGTGGTGTTCTGCAGGGTTAGTGTTGGTGAGGGTTTCGACACCACAACTAGCACTCGATTGTGAGAGGGATCCAGTAAAGAAACTGCCAACATCACTGCTCCATGATACGCTTGAGAGGAAGTTTTTTTTTTATTGAGAGAGAGAGAGAGAGAGAGAGAGAGAGAGAGAGAGAGAGAGAGATCAGCTAGAAGCATTTGGAAGAGTCCAGACCAGAGAAAAAGAAGTAGACTGTGTGGTCAGCGGGATGGACATAGCCTAGAGCTATCTGTGAGAGAAGGGAGACTAGCCAGAGATGGGGAATAGAGAGAGCGTAATGAGAACAGCCAGAGATGGGGAATAGAGAGAGCATAGTGAGAACAGCCAGAGATGGGGAATAGAGAGAGCATAGTGAGAACAGCCAGAGATGGAGAATAGAGAGAGCAGAGGGAGAACAGCCAGAGATGGAGAATAGAGAGAGCGGAGGGAGAACAGACAGAGATGGGGAATAGAGAGAGCATAGTGAGAACAGCCAGAGATGGA